TCTCTCTCTCTCTCTCTCTCTCTCTCTCTTTCTCTCTCTCTTGCACTATTAACGGTATAATTACGTAATTATGAGACTGATTGGAGAAAGATTGGTGGTTGACTGCATATATAGTAGTCGCCATACGCTACCAGTAGGGTCAGTTACTATGTATGCATGTATACGTGACTATGTTCGCTACTAGTACATGTACGCTAATAGTCCGTTACTAGTACGTATGTTACGAGTACGACCTTGTTAATGCGTTACTATAGTAAGTTACTAGTGTATGTTGTACGTTCGTACTACGTAACTAGAACAATATTAGTACATGTGCGTCACCAGTACGTGTACGTTACTAGGACGTTATTAGTACATGTACGTTACTAGTACGCTACGTGTGCGTTAGTAGTACGTGTACGTTAAATTTTGAGCATACTACGACGTATACCAGCGTGCTTCAGTGTGCTTCAGCGTTCTTCAGCGTGCTCTTAACTTATACAAAGCTTATACAAAGCTTACCCATAACTTATTCGACGTACGCCACCGTATTCACCAAATTTTTCATACGTCGGTATACGCTGGCTTTCGTTGGTAAGTCGTCAAGGTGTGACAGGCCGGACCGCAAATTTTATTTTCCCACTTGAGTTCCGGACCACAGCCAATCAGCGCACTCCATTCACTCGACTTCCTCGAAGCAACAATGTAAAATGAATACCACCTATACCTAACCCTAACCCTAACCCTAACCCTAACACGAACCCGAACCCTAACCCTAACACTAATCCAACCATATATATAAACACCATTTATTACAAAACACTATCTATGGTGGGTCCGGAACTCAAGTGGGAAACAAATTTTCTGTCGCCGCAGCCATTGTAGTACCGGAGTACAGGGTTATAGTGACCAACGGACGCTACCAGTACGCTACGTCGTGTTGTTAGTAGTTCGGTCGTACGTTTACTGAATACATGTACGCTACAGTAGTGACGTGTGCGTTATAGTACGTGTACAGTTAACTTAGGAACGTTACTAGTACATCTACGCTCCAGTACGCTCACCGGGTGCGTTCAGTTAGTACGGTGTACGTTCAATATACATGTACTGCTACCAGTTACGACTACGTGTGTGTAGTAGTTACGTGTACGTTACTGGTTAGTACATGTAGATACCAGTTACGCTACGTGTGTAGTAGGTAGTACGAGTTGTACGCTTACTAGTACATTGTTGCTACAGCTACGCTACCCGTGTACGCGACGCATTCAAGTTATGTCGGTGTACGTTTACTAGTATCATCGTGTCCAGGACGCTACGTGCGTGCGTGTAGAGTAAGTACGTGTAACGTTACCTACGAGGTTACTAGTACAATGTACGCTACCAGTGACGCTCGTGGTGATGTTTAGAAGTAGGGGCTACGATTACTAGTACATGTACCCGCCTCACAGGACGCTAGTACGTGACGTTACAGGTAGTACGTGTACGTATAGTAAATGTACCGCTACGGGACAGTACGTGAGTCGTGCGTTTAGTAGTCGGTGTACGGTTTACTAGCTACAACCACTGATACGCGCTACCAGTACGCTACGTGACCCGTGTGTTGAGTAAGTAAGTGTAACAGTTAACTAAGTACATGTACGTTACCAGATACGATAACGTTGTGTGCAGGTTAGTACGACTACGTGTACCGGTTACCTAGGACAGTATGTCTATGCAGTACATGGTACGCTACCAGTAACGATGACGTGTTGCAGTTAGTAGTCGGATGTAACGTTGCCATCAGATATATATCATAAGATGCGTTTGACTTCGGGTCATAAATGTACCTGATTGCCGGCGTTTTCACTATCACAGAGCATCTACTGAAGCAAGAATACCTGACCGAAGGTTTACGAAATTGCCATTGCATCTGGAGCAGGCTTAGACAGAAAACTGCAATAACAGACACTCTTCACGACAAGTAAGCACTCCACTTCCCTGGCCTTACCTTACCTTTCTGCCGAACGCTTACCATGTACCCTTCACTGTCAACTGTTCCTTGGTGTGGTGTGTGTTGTGCCATAGTGTGCGTGGCTAGTTCGACGTGCGTAGCGTGCGTGCGTGCAGCTCGAATGTGTTGACGTCTGCGTCGCGTCTGGGTTGCTGCGGATCTGTGTGTGAGTGTGTAGAGGCGTGCGTAGCGGTTGCGTAGCGAATTTTTGGGCCCCCCAGTCCTCCCTTTGGGGGTTGCCGCCACAGAGCCGTGCGTGCGCGATGTGGTGTGTGGATGTGTGTTTGTGTGTGTGGGTGTGTGTGCGTGATGTGTTGTGTGCGTGCGTGCGCTGCGGTGCGTGCGTCGCGACGCGTGCGTCGTGTGGGTGTGTGGTCTGATGTGTGTGTGCGTGCGTGCGTGCAGGTGACAGGAAGCACCCAGGGTAGCTGTGTGTGTGCGTCCTGTGCGTGTGCGTGTGTGTGTGTGTGTGTGCTGTGTGTGCTGTGTTGGCGCGCCATGTAGTTTGTCGCGTGCCGTTGCGTGTGTGCGTGGTCCTCTCGTGTGTCCAGACAGCACGCGGGCGTAAGTAGCTACTAGTCCATACTCTCATTACAAACGCAAGTCGGTCCCTAAGGGCGCTACCAAGCTACTCGCCGCTCTGCACCTTCACTCCTTGCGGGCTTCTATCCCTTAATTCCAGGTCTCCTCGCAAACAACTCGGCCGGTTTAATTCTTGATCACGACCTGCACCACACAGACTCAGCGCAGGACGAGCAGAGCAAGAGGAGAGGAGAGAGAAAGAAAGAGAGAGAGCAGAGCAGAGCAGAGAGAGAGAGAGAGAGAGAGAAAGGGGCAGTGCGCGCACGAGAGACCGCGTGCCTCGCTCATTATTACTCGACTTAAACATATCACGTTGCGATACCGTCCCCCTGCGTCGATAATTGCTTTATTAATTGCAATTTCCCGCCATGCGACTCTGACATAGGCATCAATTAAAGACGACGACGATGACGACGACGATGGCGACGACCCCGCCTGTATGCGAGGCTAACACATGTGCTGTACCTCCTTCGTCCTACGCATGTCCTTCTTTCCACGCTTGCTTCCTTCTTAGCTACTTGTTACTACGTTTACTAGCCTACTAGTCGTACTCGTAGCTATATACAAACACACGTGTGTTTGTACGTATATATATATATATACGTTACTTGTTGGTCTAGAAGTAGCTCACTTTTTGCGACTGTTCATAATATTAGTCAAGTAGATAAATAATTCATTGCATTCATTTTTATTGAGAAGTATTAGAGATGTGTTTCCATGGAGATGGATGCTTTAGGTATTCGTCATCTTTGCACCCCTCCACCCTCTACTCCACTATTTATACGCCGTGTCACATTCCTTGTTCCATGTTCCGTGTTCCATGTTTCGCGTTCCATGTTTCGTGTTCCGTGTTCCGTGTTCCATGTTCCGTGTTCGAAATTCCGTGATTATACACACTCCGGGTTAAACGGCTATGTACTAGATCCCGGACGTCTATAGAATACCAACGATAATGTATAATTATAATAAATAGTTCATGTCTGATTTTACTGTTTTTTTAATTCCAGTTGTCGTTTAGCTACGGAGTTCTGAACAAGCGAGTGAACGCGGTGGATGTGTTTAACTATACGGTTGCCGACGACCCGACACGGTATGTGCAGCGTGATATAGCCACGTAGCCTTAGCTATTCCTGCAGTCATAGCTAGTTATACAGCTCTAGCTACCCATGCAACCATAGCTAGCTATGTAGCTTCGTTTATAGTGTTCAGTTTACAATTTCTCTGCGTATATTTTTCCCACGTTTGCGAAAGCGCTGTACTTAATATATAATGTGTAGCTTGAAATTTCATTGCCTATATTTTTCCCACGTTTGGCGGAAGCGATGTACTAAGTACGTAGTGTGTAGCTTAGAATTTCACTGCGTATATTTTTTTCGACGTTTGCGAAAGCGAGTTTCGGTGCAAACGACAATTATTCGATCGCGGCAACTGTTAAACACGCGTGAGTCTCCCTGAGACATCGCTCCTAGCTGCTCTTATTGTATTAAAACATGTCAAGGAAGCGATTAAATGGCAGTAAATGGCTAGAATGCGCAAGGATGGCACTGGTTAGGCGTTCCAATGTTGTTATCTACTATTGATTTTTTCAGCACTGGCCGTGTTTGCAAAGATGTTATTACATCCCATCAAAATCTTGTTACATTGTGAGTTCCTGTCTCGGAAAGGCGGCATATTTTAACCTTTTTCTCTGCCTTGCAGGTTTAAGGCGCTGCACTGCCATCTCTACCCGCGGGCATCCTTGAGTTGTCCTTGGTTGCCATGACAGCAGTGATGTGGGGGGGGGGGCTTAAACACAAGCGAGCAATTAGAGAAACAACAACACAACACTCCGTGCGAGATATTTTTGCGATAGAAATTGCTCACGTAATATATACTCTCTCGCGTTCTCTCTCTCTTTCTCTCTCTCTCTCTCTCTCTCTCTCTCTCTCTCTCTCTCT